GTTTGATCATTTTGTAGTTAGTAGATCATTTAACATATTATATTCTATTTTAATTAAACAATTGCCACTTTTACTTATTATTGCAGAGATCTATATAATATACGAAACTTATAAAATAGATAATAAATTTTAAAGCAAACAATAAATTTAAATTGCAATTTTGTATTTTTTCAATAACATAAAATATTTGAGCAATTTGAGCAATAACTAATTATTACAACATATTAATAACATAGCAAACTAGTCGATCTTAAGAATAGACCTAATATCTAATTGTTGTATAGAACTTTTCTTATCAGCAGTATATACTTTTATATTAACCGTAATATAATTTAAATCCTTGATATCATCAATTACGTTTTTGTTCAGAAGTTTTTCTTGAACAAAGAAGTTAAATGCTGATTGGTAAAAATGGCAACATTGTGGGGCAGATCTCTGAATGTTTTTTGTATATCTGTTGTATCCATATGGCGTTTTAAGACAGTTGTTTAGTTGTTTTCAGTGACGTATTCGGCAATTTGTTGTTTTGTTGGGGTTGCCTTGGTTAGTCTAAATTAATATTTTATTAATTTATTTATTTCTTTATTTAATTTAAACAGCAAGCTATTGTTTGCAACTTACTTATATTTCCTAACAAATTCGGGAACAAGATTTCGAAGTTCATGCCTCAATACTGCATTATAATCACGATAACATGCAAAAGCCCATGTTTGCAGGGTGGCACAATCAGATGCTCTAATGCTTTGAATATTTGGAAACAATAATTTTACTAATATATTGATCATCTGTTTGTTGACTACTCTTGTGCAAAAAAAAAAAGTTTCAAATGCATTTGAAATATTTTAAGTTCCTATTTAAATAACAATAAGTAATTTAATCATTAATATTGAAAGATTTTAAACAGTATCCTATGCATTTGGTGCCTCTAATAATTAATAACAAGATTTATTATAGTAAAATTTAATTTCTTTGATATTAAGATAAGGTAAAGGTTAGAGATTAGGGTAAAATATAGTTTATAGTAAATTTAGCAAAGGATTTTTTACTTAGTACCCCAATATGGTTTTATAATCAAAATTTTGAGATATAGAAGAGTGCACCAAATATATAAAACATTATATAACAATGTCTATTAATATTAATATAATTGTATAATATATTTACCCTTTCTGAAAGTACATCAAATTTATCAGTCTTACCCGATTAATTAAAAACTTCTGGCCATCTGCTTTTATCATACTTAATGACAATTCAACAAGTTGTGGATGTTGTACCAAATATAGACAAACATCAAGATCACTTTTGAATGGTCCAATTAAAGCAGATAAAGGCTGTTAATTATAATCTTCAATAAATTTCTTCTAATTAAAGGTGAAATGATGTTGGTTAGATTTGAAGTTGATAATAGTCAGTCGTTACTACTTTTAGATGTCTAGATTCTACTTAAGAGCAATAGGGTGATGTTAAATGCTGGTAAATGTTGATTATGAGTACTTTCAAGTGAATAATTTCTTTCTGAAAAAGGTGGTATATTATTAGACACCAACAAAGATTGGTCATAAAAGCCTTCAGGACTTTCAGGTGAATGATTTCTAATTAAAGATAAAGTATTTAAAATTTGACGAATTTGTTTTACAGTATTTTTAGACATATAAGATTGTGAATCATTTACATTTGATCTATATCTAAATTAAACAACCAATTTAGTATTGTATATATATTATAATTGTACCAATAATATATACTATTATCGCTACTAGTCAAACTAGATTCATTATTTTTTCTTCTTTTCTTTTTAGTACGTTTCAAGTTTATTTCTCTTTAGCTTTTTCTGATGTTCATATTGGTATCTTGAAGCCCAAGACTTTCAACTAATTCATTTAGCTCGATGGCCTCAAAGAGGTTTTAGAAGCTAATAATTACATAAATAAAAATAATAAATAAGATATAAGAATACTCTAATGACCAAGGCATGTATGTCCCTTACTATTATTTTTTTCTTGCATCCTCGTGTTTTAACTATATTGAACTTAGATAAAATTTTTGTCTTCGCTTTTTGGTTCAGTACGGGTATGTGTTTCTTATTTAAAAAGAATTAAGTTTTAATCAACTTTTTTTTATTTAATTCTGCTATACTCTATTACATAAAGATTTTCATGATTATTGCATAGATTAATTATTACAAATATGAAAATTACGTAGAAAAATTTGCATGAATTACATAGAGATGATTATTATTATGTGCATGAGTTGCATGACGAAAATGAATAATTAGCATTGGTGTTGATAGATAAAATTATTAATAAATGATATGCTATGTAATGTATTATAATGTAAGATATAAATAATATGGGATAGTAAATT